TCCATTGAAAACAAGCACATTAAGGATTTTTCAAGCAGAATGTGACAAATCATTTACGCAATTTCAGTGCAAAAAAGGCTGTACCTGAAGTGAGAGGACTCACTTAGGATTTACAAACTGCTCCTGCTCTGGCCCTCACACGGGGACAATTTTGTGTAGCACTAGTTCCCCATGATTCATTAAAGTGACACTGAACTCTGGATGTAAATCTTAAAAATGCATTCAAGTATCTCAACTATTAACAAAAATGTATCTTATTTGTGTATCACCCACCCAGATAGCAAGGATAACTTGCCCCAGACTTGTGGCAGGGTTAAATTGTAATTCTTGTTAATTTGCTGCACACATTCCTGGCAAGTTGTAGAGCCTCAAATCAACACTGAGTTGGTGCTGACACTTTCCTTCCTTCTGGAGGGAAGAAGAAGAAAAAGAAGAATTTTTTCTTCAATATTTTTTTAATGAATTGACAAACAGTGCTAAGGTCCTAACATATTTCTGTTTTAATAGAGTCAACTGTATGCAAATAATGTCTTACATTGTATCATATTCAACAGTATACAAAAAACAGTCAATAAACCAGTCATAGCATTATGGATGTGAACAGAAAAAGATTGAAGTATTCAGTTATATTGGCTTCTCTGGTCAATAATACTACAAGCTGGACCGACTACAGAGATATCTTTAGCAAGAGTATTAATAATTGACTTGGACTTATTTACAGCAAAAAATGTTACCCAAATAAAGCAGAGGTTAATGACCCAAATGGAGCAGAAGCTAATGAAATGTGTAACTCTGATAGAACAAAGATTGTAACAGAGGGTATTTACTGTCAAAGGGCCAGTACAGGTTTGTGTATATTTAAAATCAAAACCTACTGTCAGAGATCCTGTCAGAGATCCCCTGTAACTGCGCAGGCGCCATGGGCGCATTGCCATACCAGTAAGAATCACGCCATTCCGCGAATGCGCAGAAGATCGCCTCCAGCCGTGCAAAAGCGTGCCAAAATGGAGCACAGGAAGTGACACACATAATGGCACACCGGAAGTGACACACATAATGGCACACAGGAAGTGACACACAAGATGGCACACAGGAAGGGACACATCAACCTAACTACTTCCCCTATAAAAGGCCAGCTCAAGCACCACCATATTGCTGGATTCTCTTTCATCTCTCCTGTGTTCCTGTGATATTCTTCTTGCCTTGCTTTGACCCGGATTGGACCTGACGATTCTTGCTTGCTGAGGAAATAATGGCATCAGAACAGCATGAAATGCAATATTCAATAATTATGTACATTTAGGTTTAATTCTAATTTGCCATGTGCATTAATCTTTGACAGATTAACTTCCATACAGATTTAGTCCTATCGGCTGCACCTAATAAACTCATTGGCTGCATTTATTTTTACATTTATTTATCCTAAAGAGACTGTTGCCAAAATCGTTTTGCAAAAGAAGATAGTAAATACTTACTCTCACTTACTTATGTATCTTTCTATGTGTAACAAACTGCTCTGAATATAAATATATATGCTTCCTATATAATACTACTAAACAAAGAATTACATCTTCAGACAGCACTTATTTATTTTTCCACTTACACTTCTGAAAGTAACCATACAATGTACATACTGCATGCGCATCATACAGCTGTCAGCAAATGTAATGGTATTTATAGTCTGAAAAAATGTTGGATGCTTCATCTTTCCCTTAAAGATCCTATGTCATGGAAATGATTTCCCCTGACCTACAAAGTCTGACATGCATGTAGCAGGTGTAACTCACTACATCTTCTACTTCTGTACTCCTTGTCTGTACCAGAGCTGTTTTGTAATGAAAACCCTCTCTTCAAGACAGTTGTCATCAAAAGCCCTGTAATATCTTGAAAATGTTACTGTAAAGCAGCTATTACATAACTGTACAGAAAGCCTTATTACAATGTGCAGATTATGTTGACTTGAAACAAAATATTTTCTTCAGAAATACTACTATGAAAACACAAACCCTGAATTTATGATAAAAATGCTTATGTATATGTACACCCAGGGTGGCAACCTTCATAATGGAGCTAACGGGGCAGCTGCCCGAGGCTCACCACTCCAAAAGGCGTCCTAGTCCCAGTTCCATATTATAGGTCCTACTGTCCCTAGTCTCTCCCACTGAGGCAGGTCAGTATCTAACAGATGCTGCTGTGGTCCCTCCTCTGGCCTCCCAGTAAAGTAGACAGTACAATGCCTGTACAGTAGGCCCATTCAGCCAAGTATTGCTGAATGCCATCTAACATGCACAGTAGGGGTGCTGTCAGTTTGTGTAAGAGCCTAAAGAGCATTGGTGCTGTTTTCCAGCTGGTGCTGTCAACGCCTCGCCTGCTCTGTTTGTAGGGATTTTCCCATACATTCTGAAAAGAGACAGTTGACAGGTATTAGACAGTACAGGAAGTGAGAAGAATCTTCCAAAGGGGATATAAACAACAATAACAATCTCACATGTTGTATAATCCTTCCCTCACTTTATACAAGCTTTGAAGTCCCCCTTCCCCCTTGTCAGGAATCAGGGGGTCTTACCTCTGCTCAGGGACCACGGGCATGGCGCAGGGCACGGGTTCCCTTCCAGCCTGGTAGAACTCCTGGTGCCCGGGGTGCGCATGCGCAGTACGCAGGCTGCACGCGCATCCCCGGGAGCACGCGCGTAGCGCTCCTTACACCATTAGGGCCATCAGGTGTGGGCCTTGCTGGAGGAGGTTCCCAGCACACAACTTCCATCTCTCTCACCTGCCATTGGTTCCTGGGGAGGGAGGCCTCCTGGTTGCCTCGGTGACCAGGGGGTGGTCTTACCTCCCCTGGCTATAAAAACCTGGCCTGAGCTCTGGCTTATTGCTGAGTTATTCCACCTTATGGTGAACACCTAGCCTCCCTTTTGGTCCTGTTGTTACCTGTTGCCCCCTTCGTTGTACTTCCTGATTGCTGAACCCTTGGACTGTCTATCGCCTCTGAACCATCGCTGCCTGCCTCGACCCGGACTGGACTTTGACTACTCTCTCTGACTGCCCCTAAATTGTACTTCGTTTCTGGACCTATCGGCCGCTTCCTGCCAGTGGGTTCCTTACCACGCTACTAGTTCGCTGGTACGTCTGACATTAATAGAGGTTACAACCAACACCACTGCAAACTCAGTTGGAAAAGCAATAAATGTTTTGGGTTGGAAACCCATCGCTCTATTTCTTTTGTTAAAAAAGTCATCGGCGGGTGGCTTCTTCTTCTCTGCCTGCCTAACACCAGCGCCAGATCTTGCATATGCACCATACAAGATCTGGAGCTGATCCCCCACAGACCAACACAGGATACGGTCACTTCAGTTTTTTCCTCCATTGCAAGATGGAGGTAAAATCTGGATGGACACAGATGTCACAATGGTGACATCCGATCCCTACTGCTGCGATCAGGAGGGGAACCGTGCACGGATCCCCTCCTAATCAGCTTGTGTGAAAGGGGCCTTATACATTCAACATCTCTCAACATATTATAACATTGTTACAAAAACAAATATTCATATGAACAAATAACAAATCTACAATTCATATAAACAAACCATAAATATTGATACCATTACATAAACATAGGATCAACAATGAATTTAATACCCAGACCACTGTATATGAACAAGAAGGTAAAAATAGACATTAGACATGCATGGAATATAACTCCCATAATTACCATTTTCACAGATACTATATTCCTATACCATTTAATTCATAAACGTTGGTAAATATAAGAATTATTCCAATTAAGTCCTAAAGGGACTCACTTTTACATAATTGGAGAAACACATCCCCTCCTCTCTTATGTGGTATAACCTTTCTTTGCTATAGGGTCACGTCTGTGATAGATTTTCTGTGTAAATCATGTGTAGAAACATGTCATTGCGAGGACAATGACATGCTCAAGTGCAGTTCACAGTATCAAGCCTTATGTCTATATTATGTCTATACATACCAGCCAATGTGTGCCATGAAATTATTTGTTGGAAATAAGAGCCACACTCATTGTGCTTGCTGGAAAAAGCTGTCACCAAATACATCAGTAATGAATAGAAAGTACATGTGTGTGTGTGTTAGCAAAAAAAAACATAATTACAGGCTTGCTGACAGCAGCCAGCCTCAAGTAACTCTAGGCCTCATAAAGATAATGAAAGACAAAAACATAAAAGGTTCCATTTTATACAGAACTATAATCCTAATCATGAAAATGTTACAAGGAAAACTTTTCAAACATTGGCCACCATGGTTACCTACTCAGTATATCATAGAAAACATTAGGGCCCATTCACACTACAGTTTGGTAATGTCTGCACATTGCTTTCCTCTCCAATCTCTCACTGCAATACTATCTGCTTCATTTACTGCTATTCCTGGATTTCCAGGGTGCTTTGCGTCTCCCTTCCCTCCCTAGCGTCATCTGTTGCAATCTCAATTTCTCAAGGCTACATAGCCTATAATGCATTGCTTCCAGCAAGCAATGGTAATGTTACATTGTTCAGATGTTGCATTGTGGTTCAGGAGGAAGGCTTTGTAAGAATTGTGAGGTAACCCAGCTGCGAGGTAACCCAGTGAGTGAGTCCTCCACTGTTAGTCCGCTGACAGCTGAGAATCATGCAACACTTTCATCATGCACTGACAGTCTATAGGTAAACATTGCGCTGTCAGCTCGCCGCCCTCCTCACACCCCATACAGACACAACCCCCGGCTGTCACTCCGTATTGCCCTCCATAGGAACACACTGAGTGATTGCCCCTGTGTCCGCCGCTTCCTCCCCCTCCCACCTCCGACCAGCCGTGTCACGGAGTTCAAGCGGCTTGAATCACGTTCTCACTGTCAGGATCACCTGAGCTCTGATAGGGCATGCGGGACGTGAGGTGACGTCTGATTGGTCCGCTTTCTTCCTTCACGTGAAGGGGGCCGTCTTTATGTAGATAAGCAGGCAGCGCAGGCTGGAAGTTGTGCCAATCTTGAAGAATCCAGAGAGGAGGACGGCTGGAGGGATCAGTCAGTGTGCAGGTACCTTCACAGGGATGATGCTTCACTAGTATAGACCATCACTCACCCACTCTAAGAACACCAACAGCACTGGAAAAAGTTACATCTGACACACTTTTGCTGTAGATCACACACTTAGTGCATGGGAAGAATAGTATAATTGGGGTTCTGTAGACTTTCCAAGTTCATACATTGTATCATTATGAATAAAAGTGACTTTGTAATTGTTATAAAGTATAATGCATTGTATAAGTATAGTCTTATATGTAACCTCCTAGGTGGATGAAACGTATGTGCAGTATAATGCATTGTATAAGTATAGTCTTATATGTAACCTCCTAGGTAGATGAAACGTATGTGCATCTAATAATAACTATTAGTATATGGTGAACGCAGAGATGAGTGAATTCTAAGATACAAAAGTGTTGAATGCCAGCATGCTGTGAAGGTATATGCAGACATATATACTAGGAAGTTCTCTTATATGGTTTAAAATGCATCTTGGCAAATGTCTTCCTAATAATTTCCTGCTAAATGCACCCCAAAGTGCAATAACCCCCTAACAACCAATCAGAGAGTATTACTGTGTTCTGATTGCTGTAAAATAAGGAATCTGATTGGTTGCTATGGGTTACTACACTTCGCTCTCCATCGTTCGCTGCGCTGCATTATTTTAAAGAATGACCAATGACCCATAACAACCAATCAGAGAGTATGACTGTGTTCTAATTGCTGTAAAAGAAGGAATCTGGTTGCTTGCTATGCGTTACTACACTTCACTCACCATCCATTGTTTGCTGCGCTGCATTATTTTAAAGAATGACCAAAAACCCGTAACAACCAATCAGAGAGTATTACTGTGTTCTAATTGCTGTAAAAGAAGGAATCTGGTTGGTTGCTATGGGTTAATACACTTCACTCTCCATCGTTCAGTGTGCTGAATTATTTAAAAGAATGACCAATGACCCATAACAACCAATCAGAGAGTATGACTGTGTTCTAATTGCTGTAAAAGAAGCAATCTGGTTGGCTGCTATGGGTTAATACACTTCACTCACCATCCATTGTTTGCTGCGTTGCATTATTTGAAAGAATGACCAATAACCCCCTAACAAGCAATCAGAGAGTATTACTGTGTTCTAAATGCTGTAAAAGAAGCAATCTGGTTGGCTGCTATGGGTTAATACACTTCACTCACGATCCATTGTTTGCTGCGTTGCATTATTTTAGAGAATGAGCATTCATTCCCTCTTTTGCAAAGCGTGTTCCAAGGACGGATGCAAACGTTATCCATTAATATTTGTTTCCCCTCCAGGTTAAATGCTAGGCTTGTCTGGAGATAAAACCGTCTGCGTATTAAATTGCATTTCTGTGCCAGATATCGGCTGTTTCTGTTTGCACACACCAACATGACACTCCTTAGAGAATCCAAGAGGAAAGTAACTCTGCAGGAGGAGTGCATTGGACATCAATTCAGTGGGGTTTGCGAGTTTGCCAAGATTTTGTGCAAGAGGAGCAAGTTTTTTTGCATGCACATAGTCTTGTGTTTAGATTGACTTGCTTGTTACTACATTGTAACAGCCTTCACAGTATCATTTGCAGGAACCTTGCTGTATAACTGTATTATTTTAGTAAATGTGCTATAATAAGATTTGTAACGAAGCGTACAGCTTTCCCTTGTGGGTATTCACATGCATTTCTATCAGTGATGCAAACAACATGTTTAATCCTCACTGGTGGGTGTTTCTTTATAATCCAGTGCACTAAACTGAAATGGTTACATCATAATGCCCCTTTAATTTGATCAGCCTTTATATACAATTCCAGGCTGCGTATGTCCTTTCAGATCAGTTCTAATGAGGCATTTTAATATGATGGGTGCTACCCGTTCTATAACATTAAGACATTATATTTTTTCTTTCTTCCCAGAATGATTCAGATTTTGGAGCCACGTTCTCTGCCACGGTCCATTATGCCTGTTGATGTTGCAGTAAGGATATGCTTAGCACACTCACCTCCTCTAAAGAAGTTTCTCAGCCCTTATGACGACTACAGGGGCCGCAATTTTGTCAACCGTTTTAAGCCACTCAGGCCATGCATTTCCTTAAAAAAGGAATCCGATTCCAGGAACGGCGAGTGGAACCGGTCGAAATCCCGAGCCAAAAAGCAAGTTGTCTTTGCTGACTCCAAAGGGCTCTCGTTGACAGCGGTGCATGTATTCTCAGAGTTTAAGGAAGAGCCTGACACCGACATCCAGTTTGATCTGATTAATCTTGAAGGCATCACAGCCAGCTTAAAACTACATGAAGAGAAGAACCTGATCCTGGGATTCCCGCAGCCCTCAGCTGATTACTTGTTGTTTCGGAATAAAATTCAAAAGAACTTCATTTGTTTGGAGAACTGCAGTCTTCAGGAGAGAGCTATTTCCGGAACCATCAAAGTAAAGAATCTGAGCTATGAAAAAGAAGTCAAGGTGCGAGTGACCTTCAACACCTGGAAAAACCACACAGAATTGAACTGCATCTACATGAACAATGTGTATGGGGGCACAGACTGTGACACCTTCTCTTTTGTCGTAGATCTGCCCCCCAGCATTCCCAGCCATGAGAAAATCGAGTTCTGCCTGTCATACGAATGCAATGGCCAAGTGTTCTGGGATAACAACGAAGGACAAAACTACTGTGTAGTTCGTGCAGAATGGAAATACGATGGTGTGCAGATCCATTCGCTTACAAAAACAGACCTGTCATCTTACAAATTGCAAAATTACAAACCTGAAAATGACTTAGATAAGTTTGGAACACCTAAAACATCCATGGGTCTCTATCCCGAATGGCAAAGTTGGGGTAAAATAGGGAACACCTCACCTTACTGGTGAAAATCCTTTGGCCATTGTTCTTAAGTATCATAAGAATCTTGATGTCCTTGGGCACAAAGAGTTTATAATACGTAAATGTTACATGTTATGTAATGGCATCAAGGCAAAACATGATTACGTTTTTCGAGCGTGAAAATAATTGAGGCAGCGAGCTTTTCCTCTTAAGCAAATTGTTAAGTTCTAAAGCACCTACAAATCTTGGATAAGCCTGCATTAGAATAGAGAACACGTGTCTATCAAGTACCAACTTAATTGCTGCCATTAAACAGCCTATACATATATAACAAATCTAAGAGTAGCATGTTTAAAGAGGTAGAGTTTTCTGAAATGTATAAAAGACACAAGTGGATGGTGTTTAAGAAGGGAGAATGGTATGGGTTAACCATCCACAACAAAACATTGTGGGGAGTGAAGGAGAAAATTCTATGCAATCCATGAGCCTAGGTTTAAGAGATGACCCATAGGCCTGCAAATGGTTGCAGAAAGTGAATCCAGCTTGGTGGCTCATCAAGTGAAAAATGTCATCATAGTTATTATGCAGTATACTAGATTAAGACTTTAACAGACATCATATGATGAATTCCATCTACATTAGATAAGCACTTTTCCTAAACACTACACTATATGATGGTCATTTTAAAGACGCTTAATCATCAATGAACCTATGAGCAAATACCTAAGCTACCTGTGCTCCCCTGAAGCTGTACCTTCATCGTAGAGGTAACTAGTGGGTAGATGTTTCACTCTTCAGTTTCTTATTACTTTAATAATCTTCTAACAAGTGCCTTTAAATCATGCCAAAAATTAAATATGCAGAACTGAGGGTTGTACACTAGACGTTTAATAGCATATTGTATCTTGTGTGTGCCATACAAAATAATAAACAAGCCAACCTACATAAATACGTTATGCCACCACTTCTGTGATACTTGCTTAGTAATCTCCTGATCAGTAATAAGGTACCTTCGACAAGTCAAATTCAAATATCAGTATTCGAGTGGCACATAATTCATAGTTCTTAATTTTAAAATTCTATAGCTGTATTCCCTTAATAATATGCACTTATTTCTTAAGCGGTCTGTAAGGTTGTGTCTACACTATGCTTGATGAATTATTAAGTGCAAAGAGCTGTGATGTGTTCTATTTCAAACCAACCAATCAGAAGTCAGCTTTAAGCAATCTAGTCTTGCTAGACCCATGAGAAAGGATCTCCGATTGGATGTTCCTGTTAACTGCACAGCACCGCTCATTGCAAAGTTGTAAAATAAACACCCAAGTTTACAAAATAATTTCAGAAGTTATTAATCCCCTTCCTTCATATTGAAGGTAATAATTATGTTGCACCTTTTTATGTGAATTTGGTATTTGATATAATTGTAGATTCCTTAAATAAAGGATGAGTTGATTGTAGGTGTTGTTTTTTTGCACATTGATAGACAAATCCTGAGGTGTTTAATTCCCCCCCCCCCCCAGAATGTGTATTTCTGCTTTGTGAATACTCTTATATTTTCATCTGCAGTATTTTCATGTGTCCCCGAACTTTCTGTGCACTTTTTTTGGTTTCTTAAAGATGAGTTATATTTTTCTACTGGGTAGCAGAGTTGAACCTAAAGCTTTGAAAATGGATAAGAAAAATTGCTTGAAGAAACTGTGAAATAAACTGGGATGCCTAATGCATAAAGCAGCAATTTCCAATGTCTGGTGGTCACGGGTTTATATTAAACATGGAAATGAGCATTATGGAATGTTTGATTGCCACTTTTTAGAGAGAAAGAGCTTAAGATATTTTTATATTTCTTAGAGTTGATGGATGTCAAAAAATGAAATTGTAATGGTTCCTAAGCCACAATGTATATTTCCTGTTGTAAAGTTTTATCACTGTAAAATGGAACTGTAGGATGCAAATGTTTCCGACAATAAATTATGCTTTTCTATAATGAAATATGACCTGTGTTTTATTTGGACATTTTAATGCCTGAAAACTGGAAAATCGGGGCAACTTTGTCTTTTGCAGATTTGCAGTTTAGAAAAAAATGTAAGCATAAGGTACGCATAATCTGTCCCTGCGTCATTTGAGATCACTGAGAGTCAGGGAGGACCTGCTGCATCTGTTCCTGCCTGCATCACTGTATCATCCTGATCCACTCTGCTTAGCCTTAACATACTGAGGAGGGGGGAGAGGCCACACGCAGGTCATGATGTTTATATAGCTAGAGCTGCTCAGGAGATCTTCAGTGGCTCAAATACAAATCTAAATTCTCTAAAGTTGGACATACAAAAGGCAAATGGAACTTGCAGTTCCATTTTTGTCCAAATCGCCATTCTAGCAATTTTAGTAACGTAATTGAGCTACTAAAAATCATCTGTAGCATAATGGTTTCACATATGCATGGCTGCCAGAACTATGGGGACCCCTGAAGGGGAAATAACAATCCTTTTTGTTATTATACCCTCTGGGGTCCATAACATAACAAAATGGTTTGTGTTAAATGAAGGGATTGTTGTTTAATAACAAAAGGGATTGCTGTTCTGGCTTTAAAATGTGCTAGTTATGTGTTTAGTTTGCATTCAAATTGTACATGAAATAATAAATTCCAACTGCAATGTTTTTATTCTATAGGTCATCTTCCTTCAGAAAATACATCGGTTTGGGAGTTGGTCCAGCAGCAAAAGGGTTAAAGTGAACCTGTTCTTTGCCCATGCAGGGTAAAGTAAAGCAACAGGTTTATTTATAGTGGACCTCTCAGGATTTTTACAAGTCTGAATTGATACATTCCTGACTAATATTAAGTAATTCCTGCAACATTATAATAACAAAAAAAACTTGGGCTCTAGTGAGTTCATATTGCCTAGACTGATATGATGTAATCGGTCTTCTGCAGCCAGGAAGAAGCATTTCCTCAGTCTCTTATGCCCAGTGATCAGAATGCAATATTTGTATGAAATATATATGTCAGATATACACTGCCAATACCTACATAGGCACCGGGATTTACAAGGCTGTGTCATCTCTAAGCCATCCTCTCAGCTGAGGAAGTAGATGGTGACCCTGGATTATGCCTGAACCAAGATGGCACTATCGTTTTGGAGAGAATGGATGATAAAGGCATTTGCCTAAGTACTGCAATTTCCGAGAGCTAATAAATACTTGTAAGGTTTTAAATATATTAACAGTTTTTTGTTTTTTTTAGCAAGTAGATTTTTATTGAAAAGTTTTTGTCGATACAAAAGTAAAGGATATGAGATATGACTCCAAACAGAAGGAGTCTGCATATAACAGGTACAATTATGCAGTGCTTAATAAACAGAATGAAATAACAAATCAACATAGGCCCATGTCAGTAATAAAAGTTATCTCATAACAATAGTGTGTAAATTGGCAGTGCAAATCATATTCTGGTATATTTGACTTGTGGTTAACAATTTACACTTGTAATAACGTGTATTCAGGTAGCTGACATGAGTGACATGTGAGACGGATAAGATTCAGGAAATGGAGGGTGCGGGACTGTGATGGGTATGTGGGTGTGAAAAGGGCTTCAGATTGTGAAAGGTAGTATAGTAAAAAAGGTGTAAAACAGGTCTTCAATACCAGTGTGTGTGTGTTTTTGGTGTTCGGTACCAGTGCCTAGGATATTAACAGTTTTAATACAATACAAATGTGGACTGCTTTGTTAAATCCCCACTCCAGACAAAACCCCAATTCCTCCCTCCCACTCCCCTCTAACCCATCCTGCAGGGTTTTTCGTTTTGTTTTCCTTGAAAAGCAAACATATTCATCTATGTCCCCCCTCCATGTCCCTCTCCGCCACTGTTTTTGGGTGCATGAGGACCTTTAATTCAGCGTTGCAGATGGCCCCTTGCCGGCTGGTCCACTACCATCCCATTGCAATGATATCACTCCTCTTCTGGATCTTGGAAATTACTCCCGCAGCTAGACAGCCAATTGGAAGCATCCACTTCACACTGGCAGTGACATGGCCATCTAAAATAGGACCTTGCCGGAAGTAAATAAAGAAAGAAAGAAGACTCTGTACTGGAGGATCAGATTTTTTTTTATTGGCAGCGATTAGTTAGAGGGAGGTGGGAGAGGTGGTTAGTTTTATGCCAAAGATGGGCTTTAAAAATAGTATGGTACTGGCTGCCCTCCCAAATACCACATCAACTGAATGGCCTGCAAGTAGTAGTGACATCTTTTTTCTCCCTCCATCCCTTCATCGTTATTTAGGATATTTTAGGAACTGATATAGGTTCCTAAAAAGGAAGCTGAAAGTTCCCTAGCAGAGAAGAGGTAGACCCCTTCTACCTCAATTCCATTCCAGTGCTGCAGCTTCTGCCAGTATCTTCAGCATGTGACCCTTCCAGTAGTGTTGGATGCCCTTGTCCCCTGTTGTGCTGTGGTTCTATCCCCCAACCCCTATGCCACTGCTAAGTCAGGGGTGGGAGGAATCAACTACATAGTGCAGGGTGTGGGACAGGTGACAAATCTGAATTGCTTTCAATGCTGAAGATACTGCCAAAGCCCGCAGCACTGGTACAAATGGTAGGTAGGACATATGATGCTGAGGAGGGGTGTATACTACCTTTTCTGTTGCTAAGAACTGTCAGCTATGTTTCTTTTTTAAAGCAGATAGGATGGATTTAAAGATTCAGTCATGTTTTCATGCAACGAAGGTGCATTTCCAGCTTTATTGTAGCAGAGGAGTTCTCGGAAACCTTATGATTACATTATAGATGTTTTTGTAGCCTCCTTACAGACCTGTTGTGTAGTTGTATAGCAAAACTGTTTTATTCCTTTTAGCTAGTGTTTTCAGCTGTTAAGTTGAAGTATTGACCTTTCATGATACATAGACTGTCTTCTGTAACATATTTCTGCCATGGGAATGTGATATCATCTCCAATTAAGGACAGGAAAATCACTTATTTAGCTGATTGCAGATTCCTACACTCCATGAGTCACTCTGGCAGTGGAATTCCTTCACTTTTCTTTGGCCCGGAGCCCCTTTCTTCTTATCCGTGTGGCCAGGAGCTCTTAGCTGTCAGTGCTAATGCCACTGACTGTAATATTGCCTCTGCCTGTAATAATGCTATGACAAATTATAAAGCTGAGCTAAGGAGCAAAATATAGGCATGTGTTGTCACCCAGGAATAGAGAGCCTGCAAAATCAGTGGAAAGAATGGGCCGGGACAAGGTATTTTCATTGTGGCTCTTCACCTCTCAAGCAATAAAATTATGATTTTGGATAATAATTAGGGAAGCACCAATAACGTTACTAGTATCGGTATCGGTGCCGATACTGAGTATTTGGGCGAGTACTTGTAATCACCCAAATGCTCAGATTCTAGCCCGATACCCAAACTTTCGGTATCAGGAAGCCGGGCAGCGACTCATTACATGCTGCCCAGCCTCCTGATTGGCCCGGGAAGTCGGCTCCATGCTAGGGACTATGGAGCCGGCCAATCAGGAAGCCAGGCAGAGTGTAATGACTCGCTGCCCGGCTTCCTGATTGGTCGGGAAGATGGCCAATGAGGAAGCCGGACGGCGAGTCATTATTCACCCCCCAGCTTTCTGATTGGCCAGAAAGCCGCCTTCATGCTCCCTCATCACATGTGATGAGGGAGCAGGCAGCTGGCTTCCCGGCCAATCAGGAAGCCGGGCGCCATGTAATGACTCGCCACCTGGCTTCCTCATTGGCCATCTTCCCGACCAATCAGGAAGCTGGGCAGTGAGTCATTACATGCTGCCCGGCTTCCTTATTGGCCGGCTCCATGCTCCCTCATCACCAAGTAAAGAAAAAATATTGGTACTCGTACTCGATACCAAAAAACGGTATTGGTGCATCCCTAATAATAATAATAATGGGAAAGATTTGGTAATAATAATTTCCAATACACACACTGGATGTTGCTGTACATCCAACAACTGTGCTGTGTTTCCTCACGTTTGAGTACTTTCCCAAGTGGGGCTTCTGGAATTAACAGTAAGTCATGGAGATTGTAGCATCAGTACTCACAGAAGCTGCAGTGCATAGTCAATACAAAACTTGTCTGTATTAAAGAAGAACTCCATGCAAAACTTTTATTAACCACAAGGGTTACCTGCTCATTTTTGTCTAGGTAAAAAAAAAGGTATACTCACCTGAAACGCTTGCTTATAGACGCTTTTCCCCTCCACTGCAGTGGTCTAAGGTCCTGTAAATCATCACGTTGTACACACTGTGTATAGATGTAAGGACACTGAGGAACATTCCAATGCTGCAGTGTAGGAGGAGACAGGCTTCAGAGACCAGAGAAACAGGGAGCCGGCTCAACGGTTTGGGTGAGTACAACCTTTTTATTTTAAGATCTAGACAAAAACAAGCAGTTAACCCTTGCAGGGTGGGGCTAGCCCCACCCTGCAAGGGTTAATAAAAAGTTCTTCTTTAAAGTGGAAGTAAGGGACATTTTTAAAATGCTGA